GCCACAACAGGAACTGCAGTTTTGTGCTTCCTCTGCTTTAACTTCCTTTTTTCAAGTCTCTTGTACATTAATCAAAATTTTAAAAGGAGCACTTGTATGGTACTAACTGAACTTTAAGTGGTTAAATATTTTCATAAAAATGTCGGCTGTCCAAGGACGGGTAGTTTCCAATTTTTCCATTTCTTTTTTTCCAAGGATGATGCATGTTTTTATTAATTCAACAGTTTATCAAATTAAAAGGAGCATTTGGTAAAGACTCTTCTATTCCAGAGTAAATTGCACTGCCCCTGGAATATTATTTAAACATGGTGCCCTCCAAACTAGATACCTCCACCTTGTGCATGTAAGATGGTGATAATGGATTTTAAAATGTTAGCCATTATGGTCTTTTTCTAGAATAATTCAGGCCATTTTCTCTTTAATTTGACATTTAAACCTTTTTATTTTTTTCCAGTGGATGATGGCTTATCAAAGGGAGAGGAGACAGGAAATAGAAATGTGCTCATGCCAGGATGACTGATGATAGTAACTACAAGTAGCGACGATATGCTCCACACCAAAATCTGTCCGCATTTGAGGAAAGTAAGCTACAATAAAAATAAGCAAAACTTTCCAGTTCCTGAGTGACAGAGCCTATTAACACAGAGGAGGTCAAATCAAATCAGAACCCGTCAAATTAAAAGTAGCATGTCAACAGAGAAATGCCCCAGCAAGCCATACCCTGCTGTGAATTCACAATGCAATAAATTGGCCGGATGATTGGCTATTAAGAATATTCCAAATTAGCTTTCTTTGCATAATATCTATCACAGTGTGAACCTTTCAGCATAATGGAGCAAAGTAAGGTGAAAACTGAATTGGAGCAGAGGAAAGAATGACTGAAGGGCTCAATAACCATTTCAACTTTCATTTAAATTTGACCTTTTTCATCATGTCCATTGAGAAGAAGATTTTTGTGCAAATAGTGCGTATAAATTTATGAGCATGCAGAACTAACCCCCGGATTTTGCTTTTAAAGAGCGGGGATCTAATAAACATTTTAAACTAACATAGAGCCGAGGGTCTGTTTGACTGATTTCACACGATCATAAGCTCATTCTGCATTCGCGGATACAGCCAACAATGGCTGACATAGAAGTGCGTAGTACACAAATGATAATGATGTTGTGAATATAGAGATCAAAGTCGTCTCGCTCTGGCGATTAAGTGTCCTAACAACTGCATGTATGAGGACAGCCTTATCACCTAGGACCACACAGAGGCCTTTTCATATCTGTCGCTCTCAGATGGCCAACCTGCGCCTGGCATGCGTAACGCTGCCAAATAAAAAAAAACACCACAGGCACTGCCTCTGCGGCCAGCCTGGCCTGTTCATTTGACTGATCAAAGAACTCATTCAGACTTTCGCAGTTCAGAAAAAGAAAGTTTAATGCTTATCACTTCAGGACAACTAGTAGGCGATTAAATGAAGCACGAGAAGGGCAAGTCTGGAAATTTTCTTTGGCTTGTTAAAACTAAACAATACAAGCTGCCGTTAACTTGTTTACCTCAGCTCCAATTCTGGCCCTAAAACATCTTCTGTGCATATTTGTTGTAAACTCGGGAAATTGTTGTTTTTATTAGTGCACAATAAGAGTGCTACAGCTTGATATAAGGATCGGTACGCTTCATCTTAATATTGCGTTCCACCTAGTTTGTTTTCCTTTTTACATAGTTTGATGAATTGGTTTGACCCCTTGTTAGAGCATCTCTGGAGGTTTATAAATGTTCTAAAGCAGTGTGATTAAGATCTTCTTCAGTCATTACACTAATGGACATGCATTTTAATTAATGGCATCCTCATTTGCATCACATGTTAATTATCTAAATCATTTTGTCTCATCTGTTCACTGTAATTAGCACCTATCAGCAGCTTCACTGAGTCACTGCATTTCTGAGAGATAACCCGGCTCTTACTGCACTTACTGCACTTACTGCACTTACTGCACTTACTGAAGATATATGTGGTTAGCTAAAAAAAAAGTTTTGAAGTTGTGATAAGATGAAATAAAAACAACTATAATATATCTATTATAACATAGAAGTTAATTTTACACAGCATATAATTCATACCTTGTATAGGCTATGAACTGTACCGTCTAAAGGTTCGTTAACACACAACTGTTTTTGCTTGCTTTCTTTTCAGTTTGGTTTATGTGCTGTTGTCGTATAAATATCTTGAAACGATAGCTCAGAGAGGGGCTCATTGTCTCGTTTTGATCTCAAAGCTTCCCGCAGCTAAAATTTCAGTCTGCTCTGGAAGGGCACTGTATATAACAAGTCTGGTATTGTGTTGCAGCAACATGTCAGTTTACTCACAAAGACTCACAACAAATGTGGAAAACATTTTAGGAAATAAACTTTTTTTTGCTTTCTTGAAGAAATTTCGATGACACCACGACGAATTGGGATGTCACCAGAACTGGTATTTACCTTCCTTTAACTTTTTTTTAATAGAAATTCTGAAAACACAATGCCACTTGTGTTTTTTAATACTGTAGGCAGTGAAGGTTACAATTCTTCTGAACAGGCGGAGGCAGCATACACCTACAAGTTTTCTAGTCTTATGGCCACAAATGCAACTCTCGCAGTAGCTCTGTCCTTGACGTGGGTAAGAAAGGTAGAGTCAGGCATGGAGGGATGATGTGGGTGACCAAGGGATGATAATTGATAAAATGAGGTGATATTCAAGCAATTCTGTCGTGGTTTTCAGACCAAGGAATTAAATTCAGCAAAGCACCTAAAAGACCAGCATCCAGATCTGTTCTTCGTGAAGCAATATTGTTATAAATTATCCACCTGATTCTGTCCTAAATTACATGGTACCTAAAAATATACTTTTTTGTGAAAGCTGGCACTGCCAAAAAAATCAGCCATGTTTCATGGGCAAAAAAGTTTGTAATGACTAACATTGCAAAAATACTAGCACAAATGAACCTTATGCCTCATATTAACAGCAATGTGCAATCAACAACCCTTCTAACATTTTAGTCTGTGAGCTCTCGACAAAATTAAATGTAAACATTTTTAATAAACAGCATGTCGGTGAGTTAAAACAACTTTTTACCTCGGTTAACAGGTGGCGTTGATAAGCTTCCTTTGAGTTGTTAAAACAACTCAAAGGAACTGAGAATTCTGTAAATCTACTTCTGTTAATATTATATTATTTCTGATATCGTGTATCCCTGCTATAAAGTTTGGTCCATCTAAGGTTTACAGATGATATTTTACTGTTTAATCCTTCAAAAGAAAAAGAAAAGGCAACAAAAATTATGGACAAGACAATATACTGATCCAGAATATTTTCATCAGACACGTTAATGCTGAAGATAATGTCGCAAATACTAAACTGATTCTTAGAGGAAGTGGAGGAACCTTAGAGGAACCTTTTCAACTTTTTATTACTTTTGAATAGTTTTAAACTGATTTGCCTAAAAAGTGACAAAACACAAACTCATGTTTGACTGAAATCATTCTTAAAAAGTTTTTTATGGATATGGTGATAACAATGTTGGAAGTGATGTGTTCCAACAAAATGTCTTATTGTAATCACTTAACGTCTTTAGCTGATTTCAATTCTTGTATTATTTTTTACTAGGTCATTACTTTTATTTTTAACGCACGAAAGCACAAGAGCATGACGATAAAGTCCTGAATCCAAGACAGAAACAACTATATACTACTAACTTGTGTTAGACAACATGCTAACACAAAGCTAGCCAACAACCCAGAGTGATGCTAAAGCTGACCCCAACCCAGCACCCAGATCCTGATCTTCAGCAGCTAACAAAAGCTATGATGAGCAGTCTGACTTACAGCACTGCAGTGCAATCATTGTGCGATGACCTTAAAGTCTCTTTGGTCCTGATTTCATCTTTACTTTACGTTGTTTTTTGTGTTCATGCATAAACATAAAAAGACTGTATGTATGCCCTCATTAGGATAGGATTATGTGTCGGCATTTGGGACTGTAGCCTCAGGTTTATATTGTTACAATTATGTGACTGCATTTCAGGTCATTTTACAGAGCAATGCAAAATATAACGAGTAGTATAGTGAGCTGCTCTGGGATTGAATTAAGCAATGTAATGGTTTCTTTTAAGGAAAAACAATGAACAATGTGTAATAATAACATTAATTGTGAGTAACAATGTAAGCATGAATTCTTCTAGTCACTGTAAAAAAACAACAACAAAAAACTGTAACTGTAAAGCCTGGTATAGCTTGTTTCTTGGCCTGAACCACAAACTCCTTTGGTTTTCTTGGTGAAAGGTTTCGCCCACAAAAGGGTTAAATCACATTACATTTCTCACACGGCCACAAAAAACGATCAATGAATTAATTTGACCACAAATGTCAAGGAGCTGTTAGCTACATGGCACCTTTTCTTGTATAAATACCGTCATGAAAGAGGACGACTCTCCTCAAACTCTTTCCAGTCATTTATTCTGTATCCCAGTGCAGCCAATCACAAAATGAAGTCGTCGTCATTAGGCTGTGTGCTACATTAATGTTGCCAGCTGACTTCGCAATCAATAATGATTTGATCAGTTGAGTACAGAAGCAGAGCAATTACTGCTTACCTCGGTTAACAGGTGGCGTTGATAAGCTGAAATCAATCATTATTTTATTTTTGACTTAAGAAAATTACAGAAAATCGAGAACAGCTATATTGAAGTGAAACCCGACACGGGTGACTGTGGAGGGCGAGAAGAACAGATGGAACGAGCAGGGAGCGAGGAGAAAGGAAAACCGATTCTGCTATGTTCCAGCTGTTCCAGTGTTTCAGTGAGGTGACACCAGGCCTTATTAATGTTTTTTAAGAATAATGTCCAGATTTTTAAGACGGAATATACTGAAAGAATAACACGGGAGTCAGGAGACACTGGCTGCACTGAGACTGACAGAAAAACTCTTCAGCAGGACATTTTATTGAACAACAGAAAGAAATATGTTCTTACCTGAGAGTAAACATCTCCACAGGAGAGTAGGCTGACACGTTGATAAAAGCAGAGCCAGTTTCCCTCTGCCTCATGGGTGTGGCTGGCACCAAGACCATAAAGTTATTATCCAGCCTGTGTTCAGCAAGAGGTGGCTCAGTGGGGTTCTGGTAGAGCCTCACACCGCCAATCCTCCTCAAAGGCGTTGAAGTATAGGAACCAAACAGCCCTTCCTGACTTGTACGGATGAAATGGTCCTTTCTGGATTCATCTGAGTGGCACCCTGCGTCTGTGGACTGCAACATGTAGTAGAGCTCCACTGGGGTGCCCTCGGACACTTCGTGATTCCTCTGGCGTCCTGGCACGACGCTAGGTGGGCTGAACCAGCTGGCCAGTGGCTCCAGCTCAGCCACACACAGTCCCAGCTCCCCTCTCAGCTGGCAAGTACCACGTACCTCCTGGGTTTCATGGAAAGCAAACATGTGCACACAGGGCAGCTTGTTGATGGCACTGTAGTCATCCCAGTCCCTGCCTGCAACATAAAACAACACCTGGACTTTGGGCTTGGTCAAGTGAATTCGGGAATTCATGATAAAGGTCTGCACCTTCCAGTTAAAGGTAAAAAGAGAAGAGGCAGGAAAGGTCCCCGGGCTCTGCAGGAGCTCTAAGGGGACAGGCTGCTCCACAGAGAGGGGCCCATAGCTGGCGTTCACGGAGGGCAAACTTCTGGCCTGGTAGATGAAGAAGGGCTCGGTCCGCGACACCAGGGTAGAGTTCCTCATGAAGTCCTGGTTGGCCTCTTTCAGGAAAAATCCCAAGTCAGCATTGAGGAGCTGATAGTTGACAGGCAGGTACGTGGGGATAGAGGAATATCTCTGCAACCCCTCTAAGACTCGACAGTCGGTTACTAAAAGACAGAAGAGAAAAGCCAGTCAGTGTAGCCTTATAATAGAAGTGCTTTTATAACCTATTTCGCCAAGATGATGTAGAAAGACACAAATAAAGCCAAAGCAGAAACTAGAAGGAGCATTTTGAACGTGCAAGAAAAGTGTTGTAACTACACATATCTCTGATAGATCACATACACTAAGTCAAGTAAGGATTCGAGGTCTTCTGAATGAATGAAAGCTTGATCGACTCATTAGTCCAGTATTGTTATTTGACTTCTGACAACATGAATCAGCTGAATAAGTGAATTTCAGTAAATTAAAAAAAGATGTGTTTCTTTCTACTAAATAAGTCAGAGCTGTTAATTGTTCGACTGACACAAAGAGCATGTATCACAGGCAGCAGACTCTGAATGAATACATTTATTGTAAAAGGACATCAGTTACCTCCTTACATGTTTCTTTTCCTTTTTTTTTGTACGCTTATTACGTATAAAATCCTCACTGTGAGCTAAGACTCTAAATATTTTCTTCAGACTATAAAGCGAGGATGTCTCAGGAAAGTTTTGATAGAAAAAATGGACACTAGGAGTACTGTTCATTTAGTGAGGTGTAAGAAATCTTCACATTTATTTCAACAAAGTCATTATTTTGACTCTAAAGACTAGTAGGTGGTTCATATTCATGTGTTTTAAAGGGTCTGAATCCTCTGATCTTTTATATGAATAAAAACAGATTTAGATTACTACGAAAAGATGACTTCATTGAATTTACAGTGCCTTTTTTTTTGTATGACAGAGCGTGAGCTTTTGTGCCATTTAAAGTCTCTTAGTCCTCTCCATAGTGTGTATTGTTGCCATTTGGCAGTGGAATGACTTTAGATTGCTGTAAGAATTAAATGCTTGTGTGCTGTAATTGTATTTTAAAAAGCCTGAAAAAGGACAAGGAGATTTAGACATCTGAGAAGATTATCGAGACAGAGATTTTCTCTGCAACATGTTAGAATTAGTGCTGAAACAATGAAGCAATTAACCAGTAATGAGAAATAATAATGAGGCACATTTTTTGCAGTTAATTAATAAGTATACCCTTCTGGCCCCCAAGCTCTAAATGTATGCACTACATTTATATATTTATATTCCTGAATTTTGCTGCAATTATACCACTAGAAACCCCACATTATCTGTGCGCTTTAATTAGAAATGTGCAGCATCGAATTATCCATTTATCAGTATAACATAGCCTGTGAGGTTCAATATAAAATCAGTTAAAATGTAATTATAATTACAATTAAAACCAGCTTTCTAAATCACAAGAAGTCCATAGAGACTAACAATACTGTTCTTATAACCTGAGGAACTTCACAGAACACATAAAGAAGGTTTTAATGACAACAAGCGTGGGCTTTGACCTTCTTCTCCAGAGCAATCGGCTACATGATTACACTTCCTTAGCACACTTTCATCCTCATGCTGGCTGCTGGAGGATTTCTTTCCTCTGATCACCCTTGTAAATCAAACATCCCAGTAGGTTACAAATCAGACAAGGATTTGGACTTCACGATGCTCCTGCCGGCCTTAATGCTGCTCTCCTACCATTGGATGGAGAGAAGCAGTCAGTGTCCAAACCTCAAACCGTAGGCAGAAATGGTCCCACTTAAAGAATCACTTTGTAAAGACTCGGTCTTTACAGCAGGAAACACAGATTTCTGAGCTGCAGAACAACATTGGGCAATTTGTGTTTTTCCTGACCAAGCAGGAGCTTTGTGTCAACTGCTGGCATGAAGCGTTGTTGTATACGTGCCATCACACTGCTGGCAGAAGAAAAGCTTTATAGCCCAGTCAGTGACCGATTCATTCTCTGGTTCCTGGGAAGCAACATTACTCTCACTCTCCTGACTGAGCCCTCATGTGTCAGAGAAGGTGAGAGCAAAGAGCTCTCTGCATTGAGCACCTCTCCTCGCACCATGTTGAAATGTGACTTAATGCTTTCACTGTTGGTACAAAGACATGCAGGCGACTCATCTGTGTGCTTTTATATACGAATGAAGAAAAAACAATCTGGAAAAAACTATTTCCAGCCAAAATTTTTTAATTTCATTTAAAATTTTCCAAAACATGCTGTACAAACTGTATTAAATACACAATAAAGCCTCTAATGTGGAAAGATTTGATGTTTTTATCTACTTAATTTTTTAAAATGATCATTTTATAATCATGTCTTGCATTATTTCTTCTTTTAAGAGGTTTAGGAGCTGGGTAGTCCCCCTAACCCCCTTTTAATTTTTGAATGCTGAAATAAGCACAGCGTTCTTGTGGCGGGGTGTGGTCTGCAATCATGCCCCGCCGGCTTTAAAATCTGTACTGGGTCCTGTCCTGTTGGGCTGTGAGCTGCAGACGACTGAGTTGTGTGTATACAGCAACTGTGTGATAAGTGTAAATAAAATATGCTGAAAAGCATTGTAATGTCATCGGGTCTGCCGTGGTTCTGTTACACATGGGTTTCCATGACATAATAAAAATATTACATACAAGCCCAGATGAACAACAATATTACTTTAAATCTAAGTCAAAATGCAGAGGCAGTGAAAACCTAAGCACAGCCATGACAGTGTTTGTTTTTCAAGCACTTTAATTTTTAATTAAATTATACATTTTTACTTCTATCAGTGAAGAGCAATGATAAGGATTTCATATGCTTCAAAACCTTTTATTGCCATATAAATAAAAAAATTACAGTTGGCCATGACTGTACACCCCATGATTCAATTGCTCGTAGAACTACATTTAGAAACTTCAATTGAAGCGTTTGCTTTCTGTATGGCCTCAGTCAGTCTCTCATATGATTATACAGACGTCTCCGTCCGCTCTTCTTTACAACCTTACATCAGCTCATTGACGTTTGCAGGCTTTTATGCACAGCTCTCTTTCTCCAACAGCATTTCAGCTGTGTTGACTTCTAACCTTAATTATTTTATTTTTCAGTCATCTTGGTGTAGATTTGCTGCTGTGCTTGGGATCGTTGTTCTGTCTGATGTCCGATTTTGGTGATGGCTCTGATCAAGACTGTTGGTTAAAACTAATTTATCAAGTAATAACCTTGTTCTTCTTCATACCACAAGTGTTGCTGGAGCTTCAGCCTCTTTAGACTTTGACTCTTCTCTAAGCACCTTGGAGGTAGAAGCCAGAAATCTTTATTGTGTTTCTACAATAACATTCAAATCTCCTCAAATGTTAGTTGTCAAACATATGGCCTCACATTTGGCTCTACAATACTTTGGTATACAGAGGATTACACGGTCAACTCAATGACTGCAAGCTGCCCGGGTACGGTGGCTGCAAAATAAGCCCAAATCATCACCCCTCCACCACAGTGCTGACAGCTGCTATGAGGTGTTTATGCTGATATGCTGTGATTGGTTTTATCCAAACATCATGGCCAAACATCTCCATTTCCATCTTGTCTGTCTAAAGGATATTGTCTAATGGTTAGATCAGATGCAGCTTTGTTAGCCTAAACCATGCTGCTGGGCTTTCTTCTGTAACGCTTACAAACAAGGTATAATTAGTCAGTCTTTTTCTAATCGCACTCTGATAAATGTAACATTTACCTGAGGCATGTAGAGCCTGAGATGCGCCTCTTGGGTTTTTGACAGTTTCTCTGAGTATTGCACAGTCTGACCTTGGGGTGAATTTGCTGGGATGTCCCCTCCTGGGACAGATTGGCAGCTGTCTTGAATTCTTTCCACTTGTGAATAATCTTTATCACTGTAGGAGGATGGACTTTAAATTGTTTGGAAATGGCCTTAAAACAGTTCCCAGATTGATGGGCAGCAACAATTGCTGCTGACATCGCTCCGTCTTGGCAATGTTTTAACACACACCTGAACGCTTCAGACCAGCAAAATGTCAAAACTTCAACTTTGATAGAGATAATCATGCTTGTTAATTAAGTGCATTTATCAGAATCTGGATGCTATTTCCCCTCTTAATTCATATGGAAGCAGTAAGTGTGTGTTGTTCTGTCACGGCCTGGAGGTTCAGCTGGTCGCTGATCAGCTGTCTCTCCCTCTTTCTCTCTAGTCCTCTCTCTCTCTCGCCAGGGCTGAACTCATTATGGGTTCACGCCCTTGGCCCACGCCCTCGGAGGAAGAAACACCTGTGCCTCATCAGTGTGGATTTGTGGATGTGGTATTTAAGACAGGAAGCAACGGCTGTTCTTCGCTGGATCGTTGTGAGAATCGCGTCAGTGAAAGTCGAGCGTCCCAGCAAGTATTTTCCCGTGCAGTGTGTGTTTAGAATCTAACAAGCGTTTCTTTGTGTACAGATTCCCTGGACTGTTCCCTGGTGTGCGAGTGAATTCGTGTTTGGATTGTGTGGAGAGAGACGAGCGTGTTCCCCTGGATTTTCCCCGGAGCCCTGCCCCCCTCACCTTTTGTACATAGCACTGCCCCGCACCCTTGTAAATAGCACTGCCCCGCATCTGTGTGTATACACTCATTGGACTTTGTTCTTTAATAAATTCTCTTGTGTGCATCATCCCCGGAGTCCAGCGCGTGAGTCCACCTTGTACTTCGTGACATGTTCTTCTGAGATTGTCTTTACCTATTTCAAAAAAGCACCAGCTTGTTCTTTTTTTTTGTTTCATTTTCTTTTAATTTCCTCATACATAAAAAAGAAATTTGAAAAAGGGTCGACTTTCTTTAAAGCATGACAATAAAATGTCCCAGTTTCAAAAATTGATCTATTTTCTCTGTTTTTTTTTTAAGTTAAATACAGGGTTTCATTTGAACAAAATTGAATTTGGTTTTATTTACATTTAATATAGCACTGCAGGTCTTTTGGGAAAAAGGGTACTAAAGGTTAAGTGATTCAGTTAATCTTCAGTAAGGCTGCTCTTGGTAATGCCAGACAAGATGGATCATTATTACAAGCTAATTACAAGTAGAGGAGCTTCTGAATAAAATGATATAACGCGTTAAAAAAGAAAGCTTTAAACAACTGAGCAAGCTTACCAAGAA